TGATAATGGTGATGATGATGATATAGCACATTATATAGCATTGTACATCATACTGTACTTGCTCCTCAATGAGCCTTACAATCTTTAATTTTCTGTGGAGGACTTTCAGCAAAGCAAAGTATCAATTTAAAATGCATTAAATCACAGGGCATTACTTGCTGCTTACCTCTAGGTTCAGTAGTAATTGGTACAGCTGTCAAGTCATTGATTACATAATCAAACACCTTGCCTTCACTGATGTATTGATTCATGACTTTTACACAGTCACCAATGATAACCTGGTCAAAATCCATCAATATCAACTGAATGACTTTTTTACCATAAAAATCTTTTTTAACATAAAGATTTAATCATAATAATAATGATAATAATAATATTAATAATATTACTAATAATATCAATAATAATGGTAGGTTCTTAAACAGCACATTTATACAACGTCTCAATGCGCTTTACATTTATGGACTTTACGTAATAGATCAAAAACAAGTGGGAGTGTTTGATCAGGGCATCTGACTGACTGACTGACTGACTGTCTGACTGACAGACTGTCTGACTGACAGACCTATACTGACTGACTGACAGACAGACTGATTGTCCCAGACTCATTAACACTGACTCGTTAACAACTTACCTCATAATTGTCCCCTTTCAAGGAATCCAGGGAATCTCCACAGATGCCCCTCAAATATTTTTTTGCATGATTAACAACTATTTCATCTATGTTCAAGAGCCATTAAGGACTGATTGTTAACAATATTTATGCTTAATTGTGAACATAAATCAACTCTCAGCAAACAACACCGCCTCCTCTACTAGCAGAGAAAGTTATTACAGTGGAATCCCATTATCTCAAACTTGAGGTCACATCCCATGGACTTGTGCCTCCTTCAAAATTTTGAATTTYATTGAACCCTAAAACAACCTCTGGGCCGATCAAAGTCAGGGCACGGCTAAATCACAGATTGAACCCTGAAACAACCTCTGGGCCGATCAAAGTCAGGGCACGGCTANGCTAAATCACAGATTGAACCCTGAAACAACCTCTGGGCCGATCAAAGTCAGGGCACGGCTAAATCACAGATTGAACCCTGAAACAACCTCTGGGCTGATCTAAGTCAGGGCACAGGGAACTCTATTGTATAAACAACCTTATTGTTTTGAAAAGTGCAAGAAAAAGGAAACCCACACGTATAAAAAAGATATTTCTGCCATAACAATTTGCTTGGGACTCTGCTTCAGTAGTTCATGAAGTATTCCACCATCACCACCTCCAAGAATCAACACTGTCTTGTCTTTGTAATCTTCTCGGCCTTGACCAGTGATGGCTCTCGTGTAGGAAATGTCACTTTCAGCTAAGTCTTGAAACAACAAAATAAAAAATCAGTTTAATTTACTGCGATTCCCAGTCACCTGACCCGGGGGGGATACTGCCCCATATTCGCTATACCGGTACATGCCACCAAACAGGGTATGGTTTTCAATGATTCTACTCTGGAACGGGGTATATAAAATCGCGCTCGCTCTGGAACAGGGTATATGAAATTACAMTCTCTCCTCTCTAGAACAGGGTATCCATTTTCGCAATACCGGAACAGGTTGTGATGTTCAGCGATCTTGCTCTGGAACAGCATGGGGTTAGGGTTCAGTGGGCTCAGTGGCACATCACTACCCTAAACTGGCAAGAGTACCCCCTCCCCGGGCATGTGACCATRCAACTTGACCTTCATCACAAACGAAAAATTGAGTTTTGGGTCAAAAGGGTTTCTTAAATATGTGATAAGATTCCGATTACAAATCCGAATTTCAAACGCTTGCATGACTGCAAAGCTCTCAGTGTTAATTTACCTGATCTTGAAGACCCTCAAATTATAGTCAATACCCATCGCTTTGCAGTCAAGCATTTTAAATTTGGAGCCGGAATCCAGTGACATTTACATTAAAAGAAAATATATCTCGAGTGAGAAATTCACAGCAACAAGAAGCATGAGATAAGGGCATTAGGAATGATGGTGTTTGAATGTGTGTGAGTGTGTTCATGTGAGTATTCACGTCCTGTTGTCATAGAAACACTTTTGATTGATGTCCAATAAAGATTAATTTTTTTGTTTGTAAAAAGGTCTACAAGGTCTGCAGTATTTGAGGTATCGAGGTGTATATGTGAAGCAAAGAGTTAACWAGCTAAAAACTAGTGTGAGCTGCATCAGTGTTTCTAATGAAACAGTAAGCCATGAAAAGATGAAAAAACTTTTTACTCTGACGAAGGACTAGCATTCGAAACATCAGTATTTTCATCTTTTAATGGCGTAAAATTTACCCTTTTATCATTAATATGTGTGAAGCTGGAATTTCAAAAAGATTATTAAGAATGACACTTACTGACATCATCATCCAGCACAAGAATGTTGCCATAAATTATGGAGTGTAAAATCTTGATATTTTGATAAGGAGAATTTTCATTAACAACCACCCTGTTGAAAAAAAGGAGTTATTTTATACGTAAGACATGTTCACATTTGAGGCCTGTTTTATGGATGATTGAGATAAGCAGACAGGGCTTTAAGATAATGACTGGTCAGTCGCTGCTTGAACCGCCCAAATTAGATTTTGCTTGGGCATACCCCATCCTGGCTCTACGTCATTGGTTAAAATGGCTGACAAGGCAAATAATAGACCTCCTCGGCTTGGCGTAATGTTGTCCCATTTCAGACCACGTGTCATTCCCTTGAGAATGAGATTCTGTATCTCTGGAGCTGTATCCATATTCATGTGTCTTCTCATGTACAACCGAGTGCAAACCTTAAACAAAGAAATGATACTCAAGGGAATGAAACGTGGTCTGAAATGGGAAAACATTACGTGAGAGCCAAGGAGGTCTATTGACCAGCCAAGTCCCAATTCTGGCCAGACTTTGTCTGATGAACAACCGTTATTTTGGTATCATATAGTTTCGTCTACACAGTTTCATCTTTGATGGTAATGATGATAACCCCATTCCTTACTTGTCAATGTCATACTCCACTAAACGTTCATCCATGGTACCCAAGTATGGATCGATAGGTCCATCCCGTATGATTTTTGGGAGTCTTCTTGATTTCTTACTTGAAAACACTTCTTGAAGAGATTTCTTTAGAGTTTCTAATGCCTTTGATGATATAAAATTTGAATCATTAAAAAACAATGATTGGAATTTCCAAGGGGTGGGGAGGGTCTGAGGAGGGTATATTGTGTAAGTCCAGAAAATATCCATACCTCCCCCACAGAGGGGGATTGGAATTTCCAAGGGGTGGGGAGGGTCTGACGAGGGTATATTGAGTAGTTCCAGAAAATATCCATACCTCCCCCACAGAGGGGGATAGGAATTTCCAAGGGGTGGGGAGGGTCTGAGGAGGGTCTGAGGAGGGTATATTGTGTAGGTCCAGAAAATATCGATACCTCCCCCACAGAGGGGGATAGGAATTTCCAAGGGGTGGGGAGGGTCTGACGAGGGTATATTRAGTAGTTCCAGAAAATATCCATACCTCCCCCACAGAGGGGGATTGGAATTTCCAAGGAGTGGGGAGGGTCTGAGGAGGTTAGCTTTAAGCCTTAATTTTCTTGGAATACCCAGGAGATACAGGGTTTTCCTTAAGTTTTGAAATAATAGGAGATGATCATGAATTTTGAGCACCAGTTAGCAGAGCATTCTCCAATTTCTGATCCTTAATAAAAACTCTGGGATATAAGGCTTGGCCTAATCCCGCTCATGGGGAGGGTATTCTGTATGAGCAAGTGCATAATAATATGTCCTATAGAAGGGCAGTCTTTCCATTGATTTTTGTATCACCTCTTTTGATAAAAGTTCAGATCCACCATCTTTGACAATTTGTACAATATCAAGAGATACAAGTCCATTAGAATAGTTTCTCAATGTCCAGTGCCTAAAAAACAAAGCATGTGTCAAAGAATAAAGAAAAAACAATATATTTCTCTATATGTCCTTGACCTGAGGGAGAGAATTGTGTCAAAAGATGTTTCATAGGCAGGAGAGGGGTAACACACAGCACTAGTGCTCAGTGTTTGGGGGACCACATAACTCGGGGGACCACATAACTCGGGGGAACACAAATCCCTGTGTCACCGACGGTTGAGCAAGCCAAGCTCGAGCCCGACTCAAGCACGAGTGACGAGTATATACCCTTCAATACTCACTGAAACTGCATTCTCTGCCTGTGATAACATAAGGGTAAAATTCTCCCCTCCACGCCGGGCACAAATGACCTCAAAATCGGCATGGTTGGGGTATTTTCTAAATTACAAGTCAGCAGATATATATCAAACTTGGAAAGAATATCAGGGTTGACCAGACGGATTAAAATAAATAGTCTTTAGCATTACTGTTACGGGTATGACGTCATAATGACGTCATAACATTGTTTTCCAATGGTTTTCATATAATTTGAACCTGATTCATGCTTCGTGAAATGTGTGTTTGTAGACGCTTCTTGATATAACCAACACAGTTTTGAAAACCGTATCTCGATTGGTCAAGGCAGTCAAAAGTTATAGAAATTTTTAATTTCATAGTTTTCCCACCAATTTTTGGYGGGAAAAAGATTTGAAAAGCATTGATAAAAACTGTTGCTTCATTCATCTTTTCGAATTCCTAACAACGTTGCATTAAAATTTCTACATAAACTACACTAGTAATGATCTAAAATCGTATCGTTTTAGATTTTTGAATTTTGAAGCCAAAGCGCTATAATTAAGACAAGAAATAATGCTTACGTCATTATGACGACATGTGAATTTTAAAATGCTTATATAAGTTAACCCAATAAGATTTTAAAGAGTATCAACACTGCTTTAGTGCTAAGTAACRATTATGCTCAGAGAAGTCACTCGTTCCACAGCATTTAAGAGTATTTTACAATTCAAGATGACGTCAAATTGGGTGATGTCACAAATTCCTTTAATCTTTAATAACTTTAGTTAGAAACGTCGTAGCGAGTTCCGATAAACATTGCAATGTTTTGCACAACACTCTCCATCTGATCAAGTCAAATGATAAAGACAGCAATCAACAATAAGAAATTACCATAAAAGGAGATGCTGAAAATGACGTCATAGAAACGTCATAACCTCTTAAAAATGAATCATTTTATAAACCTGCACTTCCCCGATATTCTATGAAAATTTCAGCTTAGTTGGACGTCGAATAACAAAATTAATAGGATTTCTTTATTCTGGGCACGTTTTCCCATGCCGTTTTTGAGGTCATTTGTGCCCGGCGTGATCTGCTCCCCCCTTATTATTGAGAAAAGCAAAAACTACCCAGAGGGGGTAGACTAGTGTGAGGTTGATGTCCTTAAGAGTTAGGAAATATTTGAATTTTCGCCTGCGTTGTCATGATAACTTAATTACCCCGTTGTCGTGATAACTTACCCTCCATCAGTACCAACGAAGACAAACATGTAACCAAGTTTATCCCCAAGGTCTGTAGCTACTAATGGCCCTTTCACATTACAGCTTCTCAGAATATCGAATACCTTTGTCCGAKCTTCATTTTTGGAGAAATCTAAAGACGTTTCATAAAAATCTAACAAACTTTGGACCACAGACATGTTTTCACGTGTAGTTCAAATATACAGAACCACATGCACAGAAACCTTCTCTTTGCAGAACCGATGTAAACGAGGTGAAAATTCTTATGCAGCAGTCGATGCATGTTCGGAAATCTTCGGAAATCTTCGTAATTTCAAAGTTGAAATTAAAATTTATGCAAAATATGCAAAATTTATGCAACTGTTCCGAAGGATACTCGAGACTCGTCGGGACTTATTCGTACGACGTCGGAAGCACACAAACACTAACGAGTGTCCTCCGAAGTAGTTCTTGCATCGTGCACACACAGTCATGCAGCAGTTCGAAAGTGCGGAGAAAAACACAGTAAGAAGAATCTTAAAAATGCCCGAAATACTAGCAGAACGAAAGGGAAAGACTCCAAATAGAAACAAGGAAGATAGAATCGAGAATGGCGAATGCGACGGCAACCAGAATAACGCTTTACTCGTAAATGGAGATTTAAAAGAACCARTTGAAGAAAAACCAAAAAGCAAAATCGCGCGAATCGAACGAGAAAACTCAACGCACGCCAACCTTGACTTTGGTCCACAACTCCGAAAAATAAAAGTAAACGACCAAGTTTGTGAGCTACAGACCATTTTGAGAGATAGGTAGGTCTTGTGTTTAAATAGTTTGAATAATTTTTACCATTTTAGTTGATAATTCTGGTGCATTATATTTAATTGTGGAGCAAGTTTGCACCACATGTGAAGTCATTCATTCAAATCGTCAGTGTTTTTATCTAAACATTCTCTTCTAATGGACCAAAAAACAAACTTCACACAAACTCACAGCTTGAACTAAGCATACTACGACACCATTTTATCAAAACTTATTAAAGATATCAAATCCAAGGCTAGTTTAATTCATTAACTCCGAGACTTACCGTATAATTAAAGTAAACTTTCGCATTCGGTTTACTTAAATTCCAAAGTAAAAATCGTTTCCTTACCTATTTTTTATTTTTTAAAAATAAAAATAACCTTAGCATATTTATATATAAACGGCTAGGCTCTTTGTCTTTATTCCCAGGCGCTAAATTTCATGCGAGCTTGGTATTTTTTAGATTATTATTCAAAATTAGATTGTAAATATTGTGAGCTAAAGACACGAGGGTAAATAACCAACGTCATAAAAAGGATGTATTTTGATATGTTTTTCAAAATTGTAGAAAAACGTTAGGGCTCATTTGAATAATTCCTGTTTTCTTGATTAAATATAGAGTTGTCTGTTGGAAGTTTTGTACACATTTGTACGAATAATATCGATCAAAACGAAGAACTCATTTCTTTATAAGTTATTTGTTACCTTTGTGAATTGATCATCGTTTTGGGTGACTGAGAGTTCGTAAATTAAAGGTCAAACCATTCATTCATAGATGATATCGTTGGCTCGTAAAACGTGTTACGCATTAACAAAATTCTTAAAAACTCTTTTTGTGGTTTTTATTTTATGATTAGATGGTTTAAGTATATCATGCACTATGCACTCATGTTTATTAAACTCTTTATGTTCAACTTGCATGTTGATTTTTGGCAGCAATGGGAAGGACGAACGATGAGCTTGCAATGATAGAGACCTTTTTTAACACCTTGAACAATTATGCACGTCTCTGTCATTGCAAGCTCACCGTTTGTCTCGCTTCGATGCAAAGGTACGGCTACCTTTCAAGATGGCACAGGGAACTGTGAAGGGGACTATTATTCCAGTTAACAGCAGTGAGAGACAACTATATAAATATGCAAGGCTGACCATACAAGACCATGCATGTGGTATCCATCCCAGACTGCAAAATAAAAACGTGGATCTGTGATATAGCCTGTATGATAGGCACTAATGAACCATGAATCAGACATGAATCATCTAATCAACACCTGAACATACTACTACGCATTGAAACTACATTTTTCTAGTCGTAAGATGCCAGTTAAAGTCACACGTAATCTAACAAATATATTATATTCTGGTTTTGAATCGTAGAACAACCAGCCGTGGAGACTTTATATTCTATGGTGACAGATTAGTAAGTGTTTTTGATAATATGCAGTTAGGAAGAAGTCCTATGCTAGTTATATCATAATTTTTGTGGGCATACAAAAAGTAAGCTCTCAAACAACCTCTGGGCTGATCAGCAAATTCGTAGATCAAATCCTGAAACAAATGCTGGGCTGATCTCCTGAGGGGGTACTCCGCCAGGATTTTGGTAGGGGAGTTCTGCTGGGATTCTGAAAGGGGTACCCTGTTTATGACAAAAAAACTCAAAATTGTAGACCATGTTTATGACAAAAGATATAATTAATTGCACTGAGTTCCTGTTCAATTATCATGTCAGCTTACGTATTGTTTTTTGACGACCATAATAACCAGTTCCATCATCACAAAATTAGAAACCCGAATATGACAGGAAACTTAGGAAGAACTTTGAACTTGAGTGAAATTGCATACCCTGTTTATGACAAGAAGCTCGAAAAACCATACCCTGTTCAGCAGATCATCCCCGTATAGTCCATATATGGGAGTACCCCCTTCTCCCCGGGGGGGCTAATTGGCATATTGGGCTTTGTAGAGGGAGGACAACTAAGAGAGTAAGACAGGGTTCATGCTACTCCTTAAACTACTTGAAAACTCCTTGAAATTTTGCTTTGATCATTACTTGCATGATTGGAAAATCTGAAAGTCAGCCATGTGAAACTACTGTGTAAAACCTTGGCATATTTAGCTGAACATACTCCTTGAAAATTCATTTTTGGGTCCTTGAATACTCCTTGAATAGTCCTTGAATTTTAAGTGTTTACCTCAGCACGAACCCTGGTAAGAGACCTAACAAATTCTAATCATTGGTGATGCTACTTCAGGAAGAGATAAGTGCACTAGCATCTGTTCCCAGTTGTCTTAAGTCTTCTCTCTGTATTTTAGATTCGGCTTGTTGTAGAAGAGGGTCTGAACATTCTTCCTTATGAAAAGAGTACAGTAAAAACACCAACAGGTAGCATGAAATCATTAATACTGTAAAAGATTACTTGTTGTTTGATATAAAGCTTTCTTTATTGCTTTATAAAACACACTCAACTTCACACACTTCAACTCAACGACTCAACCAACAACTACGATAGTCATCATTGAAAACTGACGCCATCAAAGTGTAAAAAATTACTTGATGTTTGATATAGAGCTTTCTTTATTGCTGTATAAAATGCACTCAACTTCACACACACTTCAACTCGACGACTCAACCAACAACTACGATAGTCATCATCAAAAACTGACGCCATCAAAGTGTGCACATGAACTATATTTCCATATGAAAATCACAATCTCTACAACACTATTCAGTAAAATTAATAATTGATTTTAATCTTTATTCATTTGATTTACCTGAGTGAATCATAGGATGCAATTGGTGGTTTAATTAGGTCATTAATTCTTGTCTCATGCAGAATGGATATCAGCTGAATCTCACGTTTCTGGTAGAATTCTTTCTGGTTGACGCATACACACATACAGACACACACACACACACACACACACACACATATACATACATATACATACATACATACAGACAGACACACACATACACACACACACACACACACACACACACACACATATACATACATACATACATACATACATACA